AGGGTGGGATGGGGTAGTGGGTGTGAGGAGGGAGGGAAGAGTTCTGACCAAGGCTTCCTAAGACCGTAATTAAGCACATGCTTGGTTAAAATAACTCTTGTTTTATTTCAACGCTGGGAATTACGTTCATTCCCAGCCCGTCATGAGTCCCAAACAGTCCCTCGAGATAAGCACCCACCTGCTGCGCCGGCACGACAAGTCTCACAAAGACTCATTTCTGGCGGAGTTTGGGGGAGAGAAAGAAAGACTTCTGCTGCTTCTGCTGCTTTCCTTGCACGAAGCCAAAAGTCTCTCCCTCCCTCTTCTCTCCCCCTGAGAACAGAGCTGGAGACGGTATCCTGCGGTCCCAAATAAAGAACGATCAATCGGTAGGAAAACGCGGCGGGGAGTTTTCCCGCAGACTTTCTGTGGGGATTTTCCCAGGCTCTCTGATCCGCAAGATTTAAAATTATGAGTTTGATGGTCCCTGAGGTCCAAAAGATTGGCGACCCCTGGACTAGATGACCTTTGTGGTCTCTGCCAGCCTTCTATGTTCCGCGTTTAAGGTTTATTGCTAGGAGGCCAGGCTGGAGAGGGGATGGTGGGGCTTGGAGTCCTGTTGGATCCAAGAAGAATCTTCATAGGAGTCTATGCTAGTAGCCAAGAGTTGAACCTCCTTAGGGAGGGGCAGTCTATCTTTACAGGACTCCTGATAGCAACAAGCAGGAGAAAAGTCTTAAAAGGGGAATAAAAAACGCCCAAGCCAGTCTAAAACATCTGACTGGCTGTGCCAGTAAGAATCACAATGATATTTTCAAACCGCCCTGGCTGAAAAGCAAACTATATTTGCTTATTCCATATTTTGGAGAAGTGGGGGGGAAAAAAAAGAAAAGAAATATCTACCGCGGCGTGAAACTTTGCCTGCCATATCTGGCAAAGGTACCCGAAGAGAGAAAACGCATTATAATATCAAAGGATTTATGAGTAACAGGGATTACAAGAAGACAAGTCATGCATTTAAAAAAAAAGAGGAAAATAAAAACCCCTTCTACCTAAAAATAGCCTGATTCTGACAGGGCACAAATAAGCGCTTGGCTTTTCCAAAACTGCAAACGATTGAGACAGGCCGTAGATGAGTTTAGCAGAAACCTGGGAGGATATTTTAAATCTGGATGCTTGGATCGCTCTAGGAACAGCCAGGATGGGAAGCTTTGGAAAGCTTTTGGGGTTTTTTGGGGGGTGGGGGAACACACCCTTAAATGTCAACTTCTCGGTTTGTATTACACCCTGCGAGGATTCTTTTAATTCAGATTTTAGCTGCAGCTTTCCAAGGAAGCGTTAGGATATTCCAGTCTGGAAAAAACAAAGCTTTGGAAAACAAAACTCAGAATTTGGTACGAAGTCATGACTCGACTGCGGTTTATTGAACGAATCTCTTTCGGTTGAAGTCATCCCACCAGTCCTGGTTTTACCAGCCTGCTTTTCCATTACAGCATTTTTGGGAAATGTTGGACTACAACTCCCATCAGGCTGGTTGGGGGTGTTGGGAGCTGCAGTCCCACAAATGCAGACGATGATGTCAGATTGGGGAAAGCCAGCGTTTTGTAGATCCGGATCCTTAATTCAGAAGAGAATAGCATGTGTGAATTGTATCTTAGAGGGGAGAATTCCACTAAATGTTGATAGATGAAAACTGAGCCGAATCCCTAGGCAAAATTCCCCAATAAATTTTATTCGGGATGATGGGATGCTGGGTTTTCTCACTTTGTTGGCTGTTTTTAACAGCCCATTCGGTAGTAAAACTACATTTTTCTCTGGCAGTTTTGGTGCGGTGTTGCCCTCTGCAGTCACACTGAAACACATGCAGGAATTATTATGTTTTTAAAGGACAGCCTAATCAAGTTTCTTTCTTTCTTTCTTTCTTTCTTTCTTTCTTTCTTTCTTTCTTTCTTTCTTTCTTTCTTTCTTTC